ACGAAAACGCTGGATCCGCCCCTGCATAGATCCCACCTTCCATTTCAACACGTATAGGTCTCTAATACCTTGACACTTTTAGAGGCTTTAATTTGTTGAATTATGTAAAGCTTGATCGAAGTTTTTATCCCGACCCATATGTTTTATCCTAATGGAGCTGACCATATTTCTAATGCTACTGAAGATAACAATCGCAAAAGATTGTTACCTTATCCTAACAGAATCAGGATATATTGCTATGACTTATTCAATCAAAGAAGGTGTATATATGATTAAGTGACTTACTTCCTAAGTTAGGATGCTTTACGGGGCGTCCTCAATTGAAATTTTAATGGATCTTAAAAATCTTTATAAATCATGTTCTGCATAATAAAAATATACTAATGTTAAGGTCAAATTTATAAGAGACATTATTGAAAAAGGTATAATTAAACTCGGAAAATTGCTACTAAGTATAATTCTGCACCCCATGGGGACAAAAGTTCCTTTTGTTAATAAGTTTAAAAGACTAGAGTTTACTACTTTACTCAATACTTTTGCAGGTAATGATCGAGTAAAATATAAAGTGAAGATAGTTAGCACTCTGGTAGCGACAATTTGCATCAAGGTGGAGGTTGTGGGGATACATTTGATGCAAACTTAAAGCTTGAGGACTTAATATGCAAATTTCAAAATTTTCACTTGGATAAAACGTACTTTTGGATTTTGAAGTCTCTCTCTAATTCGAAGATTCTCTAAAAGATTGCAACGCGTTGACAATTGGCGGATTCCTCCTATGCTTGCCTCATGTTTATATACCATTTATAAATACTCTAAGCATTTTTTAGTTACACATAGGGACTCATAAGTACAACTCATTTATCCATCACTAATTTTTATGTAATTATAATTTCAACCGTTTTTAAACACTTCCCATTAAGGTTTAACAGTGCTCTCTTAAAGTTTTTTTTTTTGTTTTTGTGTGAAATACTAGAAAAATTCACTTCGTGTGTAAATCTCTTAGAGAATTTTCTTTTAGCATACTGCGTGAAAAGTTCTTTTAGTGGTTTGAAAAATTTAGGGGCTGTTCTCTTTGTATTTCAATTTTATGTTTTGTGTTTTGAATTCATTTTAGATTTTGTGTTTTGAGTGTCCATTTTGAGATTATTGAAAATATGTTCTTTTTGGTATTTTGAAAAATTATTTTAAAAACACTCAAAACGCGTTTTGAAAATTTCGACTTGATTATAACTGAAAACACCCAAAACGACAAATCTGTCGTTTTGGGTTTTCTTTATAATTTTTTAACTTGTTTTCGAAAACGTATTTTCGAAAATAGTAAAGAAAACGCGTTTTTATTGTTTTAGAAAATCAAAAATAGAAACGGCTTGAAAATATTAAAGAGAACATACTCTTAGAGTTCGTGGTGAAGCATTTGTTTACTGACGTGTCTTTTACAAACTCTGATTGTGAATAATGTTGCCAGTGCTATTAATTATCCTCCTTTCGATGGATGCTCAACAGGCCGTAAGACTTTGTGATTGAACCCCCAACCAAGTCTTGTGCTCTTTACATATTGTACATTTGTGGTTGTGGTTAGCTTCACCCATTTATACGATATTCTTTTTTATCATGCAATATAAGCATGTTTGTAAAAGAAAGGATCATTTTCTGGTTCACCTGCCATAAAATCACCCCGTCTAATAGCTTAATAACCTGTAATAATAGTTGAACCAGCTAAGAAAGATTAACAAGCTGATTCAATTGGCATTGTCACCTGCACAATGTCCTCGGGTAACAAGAAAATGTGCATTGTCACCTGCATAATGTCCTCGGGTAACAAGAAAATGGAACACCCGAGCTTTCTTGCAACGCTGATTATGTAAGTAGCATTCAGCCTCTTCTCGTCATCTATCATGTGAATAACAGAACTCAAGTCAATTTTTTCCGGTGGCAATTTGATAAATACAGTCAATACTAACACACAAGCAGAACCGTGAAAATTGAGAGGAACAAGTGGAGAAAAGGTGCAACACAAACTGTTTTCTATGATAAAGATAATTAAATTTATTGTTGCAACGTACTAGTTTCACCCTTGGTAACGAGGTTCCAATTAACAACTCGAGGCTCGACTGCACTGAGAAGCTCGAGGAAGAATAATCTTTTATTTTCAATCACGCATTCTTCAATAAAATAATATTAAAGGCAAATTCAAATCTTTTCTTTATTTTTTAACCATACATTCTCCATCAAAATACTATTTCAAAATACATTTCAATCAAAAAAATAGGGCTCAAATAGGCATTAAATAATTTACTTCTTTCTAATGTCACTAATAGAGAAATTATTTTATTTCAAAATTTAATTGTTACTTTAGAGATGAACTGAGCTTTTTAAGCTTAGCAAATATCCTCTTTAACTTCCAAAAATTGATAATGTAAATGAGATAGTTTTACTACATGGGGATCGAGAATGGTCAACAAACAATCATTAAATTGATTATGGATGTACACAAACTTATTAAGGAAGACTCATAAATATTTGCGGAGACAAATTCCTAANGACTCATAAATATTTGCGGAGACAAATTCCTAAAGCTTGAATATGTTTTACAACAACACTACAAGATAACGCGGCATCATTAACAAAATAACTCATTGTGATAATTCGTGTGAAAGGGTAATATTTTCTTTTTCTTTTGCAAAACTCCTTCAATATTCAAATCAAGCAAGCACTAGAGTTTAGAGTGACTTGTTATGGCCGTACCTTCCATATAAACTATTGTCACGAAAATCTTCAAGAAATCTTGATCCGAGTTCAGTTTAATTAACCAAACGAACATCAATTGAGGAGGCTCGACCCACAACTTTACCCACTTGGTTGCCATGAGTTTACTCACCCACAAAGGGTGCACTTGGTGGTGGTGATTTGCAAGCCACAAAGGCGAGAAGAAAAAGTGGGAGAATAGACATGAAAGGGGTGAATACAATGCCAGCCACCGAATTTTTCTTCAAGCACAAAGCACACACTTCTCTCATTTGCACTATCTCACACACACACACACACACACACACAACGGTTGGAAAGAGATGGATATATATAGCACTAGTTAGTTTACTCCAATTTGGCCAAAGTTCACTAAATGTGCCACCATATATCACCATCCAACTAATAACCACAACTTGTGCCATCCACGAGTGTTGGATCACGAGCAACGTTAACTCAATTAAGTTACTTCTAGTGGTCCCAAGTTATTTTCGGGTCGAGTCATCACTAAAGTGTCAATATAAATTATCCAACATTAGTTTAACATTAACCCTCGAGATTTATTGGGTATCAAAATCCAAGAACTATAAATATAATATTAGAATTTTTCTTTTCAATACATTAATTTAAAATCCGGACTTATTAATTAATTCATGGAAAGATTGGACTAGTTTCATTAATTAAATGAAATCGGCAAATGCTATAATGGCACCAGCAAACATGTTTGCTACAGGTGAAAGAAAGAGAATGTATAAACCAACTCGAAGAAGGGTTGAAAACTAACCTACATAATATTAAAGAACGTTTGAATTTATATTTTGAACATTTATCATTTAATTTTTATCGTAAAAAAATGGGCCTCAAGGTATTACCAATCTTGATTGACGATTGACGTTGTACAGAAAAGATTCCTTTAGCTATATATGAGTAATGTTATTCATTTAGAATACTAATGATCATCAATCTAAGTAGCAGTATTATCACTATCACGATCTTCATCGCCACATAAAAACATTCTTTAGTGTGTATCTTCATGTTTGAGAGAATATTTTGTAGATATGAAAAATTTGGAGGTGCATGCACGGATCATGAGAAACAAGCGTGCATGTAGTACTCCTGATTATGCCTATTTGCTGGTCGACAAGGTTTGCATGACATATTTATTAATTCAACATAATTTTGACATTAAAACTTTTAATATTGAAGTTGTTAAAAGGAAACACTAATTTGACATTTGTACTCTAAATATTCAATGATTGGCAGATGGGGACATAAAATATTGAGAGAAAAATGTGAGAACAATTTTATAAAGTTACAAATAGTTTCGAAAAGAATAATATAATTATACATCTAGAAATAATCATATACAATAATTAGAAAAATCTTTACAATTGCTAACATCCTCTTGAAAACGAAGATGATAATGTAAAATTTAAGTTTAGTTTGGTGGGTTGGTGAGGCTCTAGCACTCCGCTATATTGAACTCCGTCCATGGCGTTTGTATTATATTTAGGAATGTTACGTGCAACGACGTGTGCAAAGTCATTTTTCCCTGCATCCCCGTATGCTTTAGTTTTGCACGATGTTGTAGCTTTGATGATTGAAGTAGAAATTGGTGCGCGTCGCCTTCTTCCCGAGAGGTAAATAAGGTGGCCCATAATCTTACTTCTTTTGCTACTACTTCACCAGTTGCTTGTCAACCACACGTTTTCCAAAATAACACTATTTTAAACTCATTTTTTCTTTAAAAATTCAGTTTAAGGGCTGTTAAAGTGGGGCTCATTGACTTGTAGTGCTGACCCATAATCCAGGCCCAAACCCAAGAAAATAGATTCGGCATGTTGAAATCAACAAGTGTGCTTCAATAATCATGAACAGTGACCATTGTTCTCAAACACCTCCAATTGAATTTCAACTACTAGGTCGTCATACTTTCTTCATCTAAACATAATTTATTTTTTATGTTTTGTCAACGGAATTCTCAATCCACTTCTATTTTGGCATTGGTTTTGATTCTTAATCTAGGACTGGTTCTTAATCCAAGTTAAGTAGCATCACTATTAGAAAAGGAGCAACTGAGACGAAGTTTTAGCGACGATTTTTTGTTGTTACTATCAACGGATTAACAACAATTTAACGACTTATCATTTTATTACTTTAAAAGTTACATATTTACCGATAGAATTAACAATGGAAGTATTCCGTTGACACAATTCCGTTGGTAAAAAATAAAAAATAATAATAAAGTAAGTAATTTATCATTAAATTTTTCAATAAATGATTCCGTTGAAAACTATATAAAATAAAAAAAATAACTAGCAACGAAAAAAATTCTTGTTAAAAATATAAAAATTTTAAAAACATACCATCTGTCGAAAATTAAAAAAAAAAAAAATTATTAAACACTTTCCTACCAAAAAATCCTATAGTAATTTGTTTTTTCAAAAAAGTATGAGCATCAATTAAAATTTTCAATTTCCCCGTTCGAAAATTCCCATTCCACTTTTTCTTAAACATATATTTCTCTTCCATCCTCACATTTCATTTCCCTTCCTAAAATTTTCAAATTCCTAGCCTCATCTCATCCCTCCTCTCCCTCTCTATATTCAAGCTCATTTTCTCCTGCAAATCTCCCGTCCTGGTGTGTGTCGCTAGAGGACGTGGTTGTGCACTGCTAACTCTTCCAATTCGCACCGATTTGTGATCGAGTCACACTTATTTTCACTGTTTCTTTGTAGATCCAAGGCCAAAACGAAGAAAGCTGACAGCAAGTTGATCAATCAAATTTTGTTGTTGTTTATATTGTGATTGTTTCTCGATCTAGTATTTTTGTTATTTTGAAATTTATTTTGACTATATTTGGTTAATCAAACTAGGGCTTTAGCACTTAAAGGTTTATACAAAGTTTTTGTAGTTTATTCATCTTAGAGTGTATTTGGTACACATTCTTTTGAAAGAATGTATTATTGAATAAAAGAATGTATTATTGAATAGTAGATTGATGGAGAATGTATGGTTAAAAATGAAAGAAAAGTTATTGATGTGATGAAAAATATTATTTTATTGAAGAATGTGTGGTTGACAATGAGTAAAAGAATGAGAATGAAAAAAATAATGTGCACCAAACAGAGCCTCTCAAGAATAAGAAACATTAATATAATATGATTTTTTTTAAAAAAAAAAAAAATTGTTATTCGAATTACTGACGGAATTAGCAACGACAATGAATTTAAGCTGTAGAAAGTTTGTCACAGAAAAGTTGACGCTAATATCATTGTTATGCCGGTAATTATCAACAAAAAAATGTCACTATTTTTTTGTAATTAGCGACGAATTTCTCTACTCGTGATAAAATACCGGCACCACTTTCATAGATGGTTTTACTTATGGAATTTTTCGTCGGTAAAGTCTTCTACCAACAGAAATCGTGGCATTAGCGACGAAATTTGCCGTCGCTGAAGCCTTTTTTTTTTTTTATTCCTTTGGTAGTGTATCTTAACCTAAATTAAGATTTTAAATTGGATTGACATTCTTGATCTGAAGAGAGAAAATAAATAGAAAAATAAATAATGAAAATATGAATATATTAAAATTAAGCTCTGTTGGTTGAGATTAAAATTAAATTTTGATAAAAACTGATGAAATGTATGATTAAAATTTTCATTTTAATCCCTACTAAACAGGGACAAAACCATATTCTTGATCTGGGTTTATAAAAATTAAGAAAAATATTTGTCAACCACGGAAAAGAATCTAGACCCTAATCAATATCTCAACGAGAGGTAGGGCTTCTGCGTTTGATTGAAAATAATATTTCACGTAATTTCACTATTCATCCTTGAATAATGCTATTCATTCTTTCTATTGAAACCCTACAAATTAACTATAAGTCATTTAATACTAGTTTTCCTAAGAGTTTAATTTGAAACGAGACGCATATGATAATTCCATGAGGATAGTTGGAGCATTTTTAATAGGCTCTTTAAAATGAAATATTTTTTATTTTGAGGGTAATGCTAATGTATAAATTGACAATCATCCACCTGTGAGATGATACTAAAATGATAAGGTGAATAAAGTGTCTTATATTCACATATTTATTTTACCTTAATCATTCACCCCATATCACATGGTGTGATGATCCCTCACTTTTTCATGTAGCCCCAATTTAATTTAGCTAAAAATCAGAATTTTAATAGATTTTAATAAAATTTAATAAAATATGTGGTTAAAAAGTAGATAAAAATTCTGGTTGAAAATGCCATTTTGTTCGTACACGTATCGAAAATTAGAACTTTGAAAATTATTGAATACGTTTCAAAAACTCAAAATAGAGTTTCCTTTTTTTATTTTTTTATTGAAATTTGAAAATCTACAGATATCTTAGGGAAACTTTTAGAGAACTTTCAATCCAAATATTTGGAAATTCTCATTTAAAAAATATTAGAGTCCCACATTGGCTGATAATATTTACATGATCCACTTAATAAGGTGGGGGCAATTCTCCCCTAATAAGCCGATTTTGTTAGATTGAGTTATATCCAATATCCTTTCTAATATGGTATCAGAGCAGACCCAGTTTTACAATGTTGGGTGCACCCAATATCGATTTATTCACAATTGTTTAGCATAGTCCACGCTGTGCATAAGAGGACATATTAGAGTCTCACATTGGCTGGTGATATTTACATGATCCACTTAATAAGGTGAGGGCAATCCTCCCCTAATAAGTCGGTTTTGTTAGGTTGAGTTAGACCAAATATCTAGCATCATCAACATGTATTGATCACTCAATAGTATTCAACTTTGAAATTCATACACATCTTCAGCTAAGAAGTTATTAGATTTTTGGTTTTTACTTTTTATTAAGGTATGCCCTGATGAAAAGACGATCTAAGCTGAAGCAGCCCATTGAATTGTTGCATCTACTACAAAGTTCACCAAAAAGGAGGTGAAACCAACACAAACAACATTGCTTCAATATTTGCTTGGAGTCAGGAAAGATGACCATGCGAAGCTCTAAAATTTCACTAAGAAACTAGAAGTAGCCTGTATTGGTAAAGTGAAGTATCGAAAGATGACCAATGATCTTGTCCTTATTATCCATGGATCTCTCCTTATTATCCATGGATCTAAGTGAGAGACCGTTTCATCTTTTTCTCGATCTATAGTCCAAAAGTTGTCCTACTTTTTTCTGAAAGCAAGAAAGTATCTCGTTCTGCTCATCATTAAGCTCTTTTATAATGTTACAGGTTTAGCCAAGTAAGAAGAGGTTATCAATACTGTGGAAGATGAACTAAAAGTAAAAATCTCTTGCTAAGCAATAGCGTACATGAATATTTGCAACATGTTTGACAATTTTACGTAACTCCTAAAAATGGGGAATTAATTACCTGAATCATCATTAAACTTGGCATAAAGTTTCCACTAGGTCACTGAACTATTAAAAATTACTTCGTTAATCACTAAATTTTGTAACTTGTTATCTCGTCCATCAACCAGTTTTTATATAAATTAATCAACAATACAACAAGAAGTCAATAATTTTATTTATAAATTATTATCAATAGTAAATAGTAAATAAATGAAAAATAAGTGTCTGGTGGCAAACAAAGTAATTATTAACCATGTAGTAGAGTAAACTAAGGAGTATGAATCTAAAAATTAAAAGCAAAAAAATATAAAACGAAGACTTTAAAATGTCAAGTGGAATAAAATTATAAATGACTGAGCAAGTAGCAACATTATAAATATAAAATCACATAACAAATAATATCATAAAATTTAACGAAATAGTTTAAAAATCTTACAAACTCATTATTATTATTATTATTATTATTATTATTATTATTACACATAAATTCGAAAAAAATTAAAAAAGGCAACTATTTTTTAATTCAATTACACCCCCAGAAAAAAAGAAAGAATTCTACACTTTCTTTACACCTATCCGATCATTGGTCACAATTATCTTTTACTTGTTATGTCTATGTCAATACTATTCAATACTGATAAATATTGAAACGAGTGAAAAAAGATTATTCACTACGTTTCATCACTTTTTAGTATTATTTTCCTACTAATTTGATTGCATAACCATATAAATACAATTATTTTCTTCTTGTTTTTCAGCCAAATAATTAAAATTTAAACATAAAATTAACCGTTCACCACTCTACAATAAAATACTAAAAAAAGAGAAAAACCATTAAAAACAGAAGAGAGAGGAAAAACAATTTTAGAAATTAATATGGGTCGCCCGGTCTAGTGAGTCCTCTATTTGCCTTTGCATGGAAGTAAATTAAGCATATCCTTTAAGACCCTAATTCAGATCACTAATGTAACTTGTCAGGTTTTCTATAGGATTATTGGAACGAAATCAAAGCATGGGATAATCACCTTATTAGTCATTCAACTTTGTGTAAGGTTTTCAGGAAGTCAGGGACAGACCCAAGATTATTGTTCGAGGGGCGAGACACATTTTCTTCAATAGATTGAGATTGTTTCTAAATTTCTCTCCCAAATTCTCCAATTCCTCCTCTCTTCTTTCTTTCACTTCATCTTTACTGAGCTACCACACAAAGTGGAGTGTCTACCCTTTACCATAGAAGAAAAAACTAATGAGGATCCACTAACTTGAAAATGGGTCGGCAAAGAAGTATACACAGTAATTTGAAAACAGGTTGGCAAAATCATAAAGCATAACAAGTCTAATAACTGTTGACTGTTGTAATAGATACTATAAGCTTCACAGTTCTGTAATTTATACAATTTTGATTAACTATAAGGCACCATAATGCTATTTCTTTATTCATCTAGCTGCTAGCATATTTTTTTTTACTCTTAACATCTAATTAAAATATTTCACCAACCTGATAATACCAATGATTTGTAGTTGAGCAGCCATTAATTGGAAGGGGAAGGGATTACGGGGAATTCGGGGAAAGGGTGGAGATTGGGAATTCGGGGAAGGGGAAGAAAGTGGCCTAAAGTGTGGGCTTCTTCATGGTGGGCTTCGGTAGTTGGGTTATGGGTGGGTTGCTCTGTTTGTGCGTGTGCGTGTTTTTATTTTTTTTGTAAGACAAAAAATTAATGGTCCAGTGGGGGCAGTTGAACCCACTGGGCCTTTAATGGGTCCGCCCCTGTAGGAAGTCATCGAATTTCAAAAATTTCCTCGTTAATAAAACTTTTGAAGTTGTCAATGACAAATGTGATACATTTTTTAAAATTCAATAACTAACGAGAAAACTTTTAAATTCAGTGACCTCTTGAAAATCTTACCCAAAGTTCAGTGACTAATCATCTAATTTATCAATCTTTTATATTTTTTTAGTTTTTTTCCTTTGTTCTTAGATAGGCAAGTAGATAATATTGTCGGTTATCCCCGAGATAAAAGGATATTCTTTATCTTTTTATTTTTTTTAATAAGTTTGGCGATACTAGAGAAAATAAAATTGTGGGGGTAGGAATTTAAAAAAGAAGAAGAAGAAGAAGACTAAAACAACATAATTGGCCACTGAGCTTTACGTAAGGTTTTCAGACGATCCCTGAATCTTAAAAGTTAACACGTTAGTCACTAAACTTTACAAAATGTAATCCCGTGGATGAGATTACATTTTTTAAATTTCAATGCCTAACAAGGAAAGATTTGAAGTTCTCAGTGATGAATGAGGTTACTTTTAGTAAAGTTTAGTGACTATAGAATTTTTTTTTTGAAGTTCAATGGCTTTCGGAAACCATTTAAAAAGTTCAACCAGATAATTATTCCAAAAACTTTTGATTTTATACTATTCTTGAAGTACGACGATAAGATAAAAACATTGTTTATATTTGAGACACCTCAGGATGCCCATTTTCCAAGAGATGAATCATTTTTTTGTAATTAAATAAAAAAGGAAAAAATTAATCTTTAAACAAAAAGGTAGAATATATGATATTAACTAAAAGAAAAATGTCTATTGCAAAAAAAAATTTAATTCAGAAAAAGGGAAAAATTGAAGCTGGGGTCCCAAACCTTTTAAATTGTTGCAAACATACCCAAATCTTCTATTTTAACAGTTGGGGTCCGAAACATATCATCTCAAGTGCAGGTGAGGACATGTGGACAAAATTCGTCCATTTGATAGTTATTTGATCAAAAGTCAACGATTTGACCAAATAATCTCATATAAAACAATTAAAATAATTACAGAAAAATAAATAGAAAATGGGTGAAATTAATGTTGTACTTTTGACAAATCAATTTATAAAGGATTAATATATTTGTAAAATGTTGGTTGACAATATTGTTGACAAAAAATATTGATTAAAAAGATAAGTTGTTTTTTAAACCATTCAATGACAACTTGCCACGTGATATAGAGGACGGATTTAGGGGGACTAGCTCGGGCTATAAATAGGTCCAATCCATGGCCCGTTATTTTTTTTTTAGTGTAAAAAAATATTTTTATTGTAAATTTTTTTAGGTGTAAATTTATTTTTTACTACATATTAGTCCAATTTGTAGTTCGATCCTGAATCCATCTCTGGTGTGATATGTTCTCAATCAATATTGTACACCAAACATGAATCATTTATAAATTGTATCCAAACGGGGTATCCATTTCAAGGGTATTCACAGACTTCCATGAGAAAAATGGCTCTTCAAACTTCTCTGTTCTCTTCAAAGTATTTACAAGAGGAAGAAGCTCTATCACAAGAATGCAAGGAATTGATCTGCTCTCTACCTAAAGAAAAAGGTTGGATTTTCTCTCATATATACAAATATGAAGGCTTCTGGTATAGTGCTAGGCATCTTCAAGGAGTCATTGCATGTCAAAAGTACTTCCTTGCTCAGGAATCTGATATTTTCCTTGTTACCACTCCCAAATCAGGCACTACCTGGTTGAAGGCTATCATGTTCACCTTAGTGAACCGAAAGAGATACCCTGTTAAGGAAAATCACCCTTTACTCAACAACAATCCTCATAATCTCGTCCCGTTCTTGGAATTAGAATACATGGATAATCAACAGCCAGATTTGTCCCTCTCTTCCTCTCCCAGGCTTTTTGCCACTCATTTCCCCTATTTTCTCATGCCTAACTCAGTGCACGATTCTGCGTGTAAGATTGTTTATCTTTGTAGGAATCCTAAAGACAATTTGGTTTCCCTTTGGCATTTCGCAAAAAAATTAAAGCTCCAGGCAACAGCGATCCATTCACTTGAAGAGGCTTTTGACATGTTTTGCAGTGGATTGAGCCCATGTGGACCCTTTTGGGATCATGTGTTAGATTATTGGAACGAAAGCAAGAAAAATAATAGGATACTTTTCTTGAAGTATGAGGATATGAAAGAGGAGCCTGCTGTTCATCTGAGGCGCCTCGCCGAGTTCTTGGGATACCCATTTTCGGCAGATGAAGAAGAAACAGGAATGGTGGGGGAAATCTTGAAGCTGTGTAGTTTTGATAATTTAAGCAATCTGGATATCAACAAGACTGACAAGAAAGCATATGGAATGGAAAATAAATCCTTCTTTCGTCGAGGTGAGGTTGGAGATTGGAAGAATCATCTGTCCACTGAAATGACGAGGAAAATTGACAAAATTACTGAACAGAAGTTCAGTGAAGTTGGATTAGTACTCTGAAAGTATGTATCCATATTTGTCAATAAAATCAAGTCAAGACAATGAAGGTTGTTCAACTACTGTGCCTTTCTAGAAACTGTCGTCCAATCTTTGTTAACTTTATCGAGTCTGTGGTCCTTTGAGTTCATTTTCAGTATGAATAAAAAATTAGCACTTGTTTGGCGTGTGTTTATGCTATAAAATTTCGATTAAATTTATTATTTATCCACACACTACATTGGACACAAAACTATGCCCCTGTTTGACAATTATTATTTGAGGAAAATAGAGTTTTGAATAGTTATTTTTAGGAGAATGAGTCGTTAAAAAGTAAGAATATTGTGTAGAACATTTTAGTATATAAACGTGGTTGAAAATGAATAAACAGAAAAAATAGTTTAAAAATAATAATTGTGAAACAAGGGCATATTCATTTATCTAACACTTTAGTTATTTCTATCCAACAAACATTCGCTAAGAATGTTCTATTTACTATAATCTTGCATAGCATGTAATTTCATGTAATTTCTACTTTCGTTGTTTCTGGCAGAGAATGAATCGAGTCAGTAAATAACAAATATTATACAAAATTTACTAAAAGAGTTAATTTTTCTACAAATAAGAACAGACGTTATAATCCTTTTTTTTACGAGGAAAAGATGAAGAAAATTTGAAGGCAATAAAACCATTTTTTTTTGTGCTAAAGTAAGTATTACTTTCCTTTTAAATTACTTATTTTGTTAAACATGATTTCAAAGCCACTCATTTTTACAAAATATACCAACTCTTTTTAGAAGTTACGAAACCTACTTTTTAGAGGAAAAAAATTGAAAACTCTTTTGAACACTAACAAACATGCTCCAAGACTTGTATAAATGAGAACATCTCATTTAAAGTTCAACTTATTAGAGAGGAGACACATCTATTATTTCAAATTTAGTCTACAATAGGCTCTTTGCATACAATTCAGATTTATTTGGTCAAATGCCTCAGCATGCACAGTTTTCACAAATAGGCGACAATGAAAATTGAACGCAAGACCTGTGTACTATTAGAGGTGTCAATCTGAATAGTCCGGGTCGGGTCGGCCCGCCACATATGAGTAGGTAACGGTCCGCGTGAAAAAAAGTCCACCCGCTACGGGTTCCAGCCGATTCCGGATCGACCCACAAACATACATACATACATACATACGTACAAAAAAAGGTTAATAGCAAAAGGTTATAAACAAAGACAATTAGTTTCCTTTGATGAAACCTTTTAGCCTATAGCCATGCTAAATTCCATTCGAATTTTGTTTGCAATAGCTGCATACCATGCCTATGTGTTATGATAGATGGATGTCAAAATTGCATTCCTTAACAGAAACTTGTAAGAGGAAATGTACATGACACAACTTAAAAATTTTGAATCTAAATATGCTTACAAGGTATGCAACTTTAATCAATCCATATTTGAATTATAGCCAGCATCTTAGAGCTGGAATCTTCGATGTGACGAGAATGTCAAAATGTTTGATTTTATAAAAAATGATAAAGATCCGTGTGTTTGGAAGAAGATAGTGGGAGCGTTGTCGTATTCCTGATATTATATGTAGATAACATATTAACAGGAAACGATATCTCTATGTTTCAATCGTAGAAATTATGGTTTGAAAGATATGGGAGAAGCAATTTCATGTATAGAATTCATTTCCCAACAAAAGTTCATTTCCAAAAAAAAGTTGCGTAACATGTGGGCTTAATAGGTATCGTTGTTTTATTAGTCATATATAATTAGCAACACATTTGATCTTAACTATGCCTCTATTTGTTTGGTATTATTTATGAAAACTCGCGATTGACGTCTATAAGATAATAGGAATGGATATGAGAGGCTAGACTATTAACAAATTTTCCACCAGAAAAAAATGACAGCCAAAACTTCCTTATTGCCTCCAATGGATTTACAAGAGGAAGACGTACTAGCCCAAGAATGTAAGAGCTTAATCTCCTCTCTCCCTAAAGAAAAAGGATGGATTTCCTCTTATCAGTACAAATATGAAGGGTTCTGGTATTCTCCTACACGTCTTCAACAAGTCATTACATTACAAAAACACTTCCTTGCTCGGAATTCGGATATTATTCTTGTTACTCATCCCAAATCAGGCACTATGTGGTTAAAGGCGATTATGTTCACTTTAGTGAACCGAAAGAAACATCTTGTTAAGGAAAATCATCCTTTACTCAGCAAGAATCCTCATGAACTCGTACCATTCTTTGATTTCGATCTCTACTTGCATAATCAAATCCCCGATCCATCCTCCATTCCCTCTCCTAGACTTTTTGCCACTCATTTGCCCTATTTTTCCTTGCCAAAATCATTGCATAATTCTGCATCCAAGCATGTTTATCTTTGCAGGAACCCTAAGGATACATTTGTGTCCTTTTGGCATTTCATAAACAAGTTAAGGCCTGAGAAGAAGGGAAGCAGTTCACTTGATGAGGCTTTTGACATGTTTTATAGAGGGGTGAGCCCATATGGACCTTTTTGGGACCATATATTAGATTAATGGAATGAAAGCAAGAAAAATTCTGATAAGATTCTCTTTTTGACGTATGAGAATATGAAAGAAGAGTCCGCCGTTCATTTAAAACGCCTCGCCGAGTTTTTGGGATGTCCAATTTCTGCAGATGAGGAAGAATCAGGAATGGTGGAGGATATCTTGAAGCTATGTAGCTTTGATAATTTAAGCAATCTCGAAATCAACAAGACTGGAAAGTTAATATATGGTCAGGAAAGTAAGGTATACTTTCGTCGAGGTGAGGTTGGAGATTGGAAGAATCATCTTTCCACTGAGATGGTGAAGAAACTTGATCATATTACTGAACACAAGTTTAGTCGATTTGGATTGAAAATTTGAATGCAAGTTTACTGAGTTGTTTCCTGGAGATTTTAATTTGTGTAATATTGCAACCATTCTGAAATCTGTATGCTTAGCTTTGTTATCACGAAGTTTAGTTGTTAAGAATTTAATAGCTTTGATTAGTGTGTAGATTAAAATCAGATTTTAATAAAAAAAAAATGATGGAATATATTGTTGTAAGTTATGAGTTTCATGAAATGTATTGTTAAAATTAATTGTTGAAATGTATGGAATATATTCTTTCGAAGGATGACGTTTAGCCTCAAGGCACCTAGGGATAGTAAGAGAGAAACTTACTTTCTAGGGCGAACGTAAACATTCCATTTCCCTATTCTGCTTTTATACCAAAAATAATATTTTTTTTTCTTTTCTTATGGATAGTTCTTCTACAATTTACTGACTGACTCGATAAATTTTCTGTCGAAAAATACGTTAGATTCAGCAGTTGTATGTCATTATTATAAGAAACTTGTATTAAATGGGGCAATTACCGACAGTGTGATTTACAAGCTTATGTTTTTCTATTGTTTTTAAAATACTATGATGCTGAGTTAGGCCACTAACTTCAAAGTATAACATCTGATGCCTAAACCTCAATTAAATGATGCTCGCATATTCCAATGCTAAATTAGCTTATAATATAGCCCTACATCTTAATAGCTGTCCCACTGACCCCTCACATGTGAGGGGGCCCACCATGAATAAAAAATTTGTGGGCCCCCTCTATGTGAGGAGAGTGTACACCATACTGCACATGTAGCAAAGTTCAAGCTCCAAATTGTCAAAAGAATAATGTTATATGTCATGACAACTTGGTTGACATTCATTCATACGTGGAGAAAATCTATGCACTGATGTGACGATGAGTTCAAAACCAAGAGTATAGACGTTGCTATATGGAAGAACGAAAAGAAAGATGTAAAGGAGAGTTTAAGTGTAGTAAGGTTGTTGTCAAAATGCCAGATTAATTTGTCCGGCCTATGAGTTGTTCTCAGCCGAAAATTCAATATGTGATCTCTTGATCAACTGGAAAAATGGAAATACATTGAATGAAAAGTTCAATAGCACGAGTTTTATGTCCATACTTTTAATTTGATCAATCATTTGGGCATGGCTCTTATACAAAAACTATATATGTTTGGGATTTATCTGTTAAATTCTGTAAAATAATAGACCAGAAGTCCCACTTTCTTGCTCCCTGGCCCAGCTTACACTCCTTTCTGAAATCTGAATCTTCAATTAAAATCTTAATTAGAGTTAATTAATCCTTCATTATTTCCATTTCACACTAATGCATTGTATTAAGTTGACACTTTGTTGCTTATTTCTTAATTTAATGCATTATTTTAGCGTTTAGCCAAAAAAAAAAAAAAAGTTACAATAGACCAAGTTTTAAGCCTCACTGCGTTATTATGTCTTGAGCTAGTAAAGAAAAAGGTCTTTTGACCATTAACCATTTCATCTAAAAGTCAAATCAAATTGCTAAAGGTGCAGTAATTACGTCATTGTTTGGTACTCATTATTTCCAAAATATATTTTTCTCCATCTTATTTTTAACAACACATTTACAATAAAATAATATTACATACAAGTTCAAAAATTTTCTTTATTTTTTAACCACACATTCTCCATCAAAATACTATTCCAAAATGCATTTTCAAAAAAAAAAAAAAGTGAAGGCAAGACTTAAATTCAAAAAAGTAGCCGAAGCATAAACACTATAAAAAAATACGTTAGGTACATGACATGTACAAGATGTTAATCTATTTTCTTATTTAATTATTTTCAATCTATATAGATAGCATTATTGTTTTACTAAACATTTCAAAAGTTGACAAATTGGTGGCTGGCAGATCTTTGAGTATCTGAATTTTTGAATACTTAAATGCTCTCGTGCTTGGGCTGAATTCCTTGATCACATATTATATAGATGAATAATGCTACTGAGGTAGGGTTTAGAAACATGAGTGGTAATAATTGCTATCTATGTGGATTTTTTTTTTTTTCAAACTGTCCAATGATATTGCGCCACGTATCTCTCAGTTTTTGAACTTTGTCGTTGAATTTGCTTGTGTATCATGGCGTGCATGATTGATGATAGTGTTGATAATCCCAATTGGTGGTTGGCAGCTGGCAGATCTTAGTCAACTTATTAGTTACTATTAATAATTATTTAAACTTGTAAAATCTTTGAGTATCTGAATTTTTGAATACTTAGATGCAATGCTTTGAAAACGACTCGATCATTGATCTGGAAAAATTAAAGGGTCAAGTATCAAATGATCGAATTGAGGTCGAACCAAGTCGATCCGGAGTTACAATAATAAATAAATAGATTATATACTGTATTAAAAATTTCCAAGTCGATTCCGACGACTCAGGTCACAGTCCAATTCACAAGTCACAGCCCATGTCACAATTCAGGTCACAAGTCACAGTCCAAGTCACAACTCAAGTCACAAGTCACAGCCCTGGTTACAACTCAAGATTTTGTTCATAATCACGAGTTATTTTTTTTTTTTAATAAGGATCACAGGTTATTTTCTAATGATCACAGATAAATTTTTCGATGACAACTTAATTAATTTTGAGTCACAGTTCGAATTTTAAAGGTCACAGTTAACTAATTCGTCACAGGTCAACTACTGGATCACGTACCACCATCACCTCCAAATGTCTCCACCGCCACTTGCGACCATTGTGTGACCCTCACGTGATGGTTGACGACGGCACCACCACCACAAACACCATCATCCCTATCACCCGTCGACCACTTCACAACAGCACCACCGCTACAAACACCACAACGTCGCCACCAACAAACCGCCACTACCAAAACCCGCCACCACTACCCCCAACAAAAACCGCCAAATACTCGACAAAAACCCCCAGATCCACCACCTCACACAACCATCACCACCCAACAAAAACCAACACCAAAACATGGAAACCAACGCCGTCACCACCACTCCAACAACAACAAAAAGCTACATCTCGGTTCCTCTTCGCCAGATTAACAAATTAGTGATCTCTGCTTCACGTAGTTCTGTGTTATTCAGTGACTCAACAGGGCCCTCAAAGGCCTCAGTTCAAATAAAAAATCGGTGAAGAAGAAAAAACAGTCGGCAGAACACAGAGATCACTACAGCCACAATCTGTGCCATCATCATCGCGATCTATGCCGCTATAGCCATGCTCTACAGAGCTTTCGGGGATCTGGCTGCTGGCGCGATTTACAGTCTCCGGTGGTGGCCCATTTGTGGAGAGGGCAGAGAGAGATAAGTGAGGCTATGCGATGAAGAGAAGGTGATAGGTGAGAATAGAGATCAGTTAGATGGTGTCGGCGGTGGAGAGAGGGCAACGACTAGTGCGAAAATGTAGAGAGAGAGAGAGAGAGAGAGAGAGAGAGAGGGGGGGGCGGCGACAGGTTAGAGAGAGAAAGAGAGGAGGTGAGAAATTAGGGATTAATGACGGGGTGGAGTGTATATAATTTAATTTTTATAATATTATTATTAAATTTTAATTAAATATAAAAAATATGTATATATATATAAAATATCTGATTTTTGAACATTAAAACTTAAAATCTGATTTTTGAACTTGAATTTTGAAAAGTAAGGATCCATGTAATTTCTACGTTTAACATTAAGTGATTAAATGGGCCAAAACATATTATAGCCCACAGTACATAACCAAACCCCAAAATGAATATGCCACTGAAGTACAGGTTTAGTTTATTCAATCTGCCTCTTTTCTTATATTTCTTACTTCTCTCTCGTATATATTTGTATACATCAACATAAATACTTTTGCTTAAGATTAGTTTTGGATTTGAATGTTTTGACTGCAATGTGGTACAATAACCTCGCCAAAGAGATATGGAGTTCCTGTGGCTATTAGATGGGAGAAGTGGCAGTAAAGCATTACCTCAGTTTTCTGCCTTTTTGCACGGATTTCTTCTCATTCGGTTTTTATATTAGGCGGGTCCGGATTTCGGTCCGATTTCCGATTTTCTGGTTGAACCGACCTGTTCGATCCAGGTTTAAGAACATTGCTTAAATGCTTTCGTGCTTGGACTGACTTCCTTGATCACACATTTAAATAGATGTGTGATTGAAGACAATTGTACTATTTGTCAATCAGAATTGAGTGATTTCTTTAATGCAAAATAAATTTACTAAACCTACCAAAATAGAATGGAAAGTAAGTGAAAAATTGAACAGAATAATGATAAGCGATGAAATGCAAAGGATCGAGACAAGAGTTCATGAACTATTTGTCTTTAGGGGGGTGTATTCAATTAGAACTTTTAAAACTTCTATAGACTTTTTTAAATTGATTAATTTTGTGGAATTTATGGACTTTTAAATGACTTCAATGATTTGTTAAAAATTAATAAAAGTCTTCATTGAATTTCTATACACGTTGATTAAAGATTTTTAAAGAGTTTTAATCTTGCAATTCATTAAATACTTGAAAAATTATAATCTTTCTTATTACCTAATTAATATTTTCGAGAACCATAAAACCCACAAAAAGTTTCTTGGGTAAAGTCACTAGTCGCGGTCCAGTCATTCAATTTTGGGGCAAATAAAATAATAAAAAAAATTTACATCAATTTCTAAGAACATAACAGAAAAAAAATC